CGAGCCCGCGCCCCCGCGCAGCTGCTGCCCAGTCCGTGGGCGCGCTCTCGGCCGCCGACCGCCGGGCAGGCGCGCGGCGGTGCGCGGCGCCCACGCCCGGCGCCCGCGCCTGCCTCGGGTCGCGGCCCCCCGCACGCGCGGCGTGGGCAGCGCGTCGGCTTCCAGGGGCCCCCGCCCGATGGAGCGCCGAGGCCCTCGGCTGCGAGCGGCGAGCCTCTGGCCGCGCCCCTGCCGCTGCCACCCGCTGAGCTGCGGCATCCCCGCCGACGCGATGACCGTCGCAGGCGCGGCGGCGCAGTGCAAGCCTGCGTTGCGGCGCGCCTTCATCGCTGGCTCCGCCGCCTGCGTCTTGCCCTCCAGCGGGCCCGCCAGGGCGCCCTCCAAGATCGGCGCCGCAAGGGCCAGCCTGGGCACGGGCTCCCCAACCAGCGCCGCGTCACGCGCTGCGACGGTGCCTGCGACTCGGCCAACGCCGCGGCCTGGTCCGCAGCGGCCTGGCGCCTTGCCCGCTCCACGTCGAGCCGATCCCCCAGTGCCCTGGCGATGCTCTCCAGCTCCTCGACGCGGCGGTAGGCGGCAGCCAGCCTGCCATCCGCTGCCTGCCGCGCAGCGGCCTGCCGCGCGCGCCGCGCAGGCCAGAGAGAGCCCCCAGACGCGGCCGCGTGCTGCTCCGCCGCCTCGAAAGCAGCCGCGCGGCCCGCCGCCGCCATCTGCGCCCAGGGCGCACGCCCTCGCGCGCGCGCCCGCGCGGCCGAGGGGGCAGCTCTTGAGCCAAAATGGCTACGGAGAGGAAGAGGAGGAGGAGGAGGAGGAGGAGGAGGAGGAGGAGGAGGAGGAGAAAAAAGGAGGAGAAGGAGAGGAGCAGGAGGAGGAGGAGGAGGGAAGAGGAGGAGGAGGACACCCACTCTCGGCCGTCGCGGGCGGGTGCCACGCCACGCCGCCCAGTGCGCGCGCAGGGGGCCGCGCGCGCTGAAGGGAAGACGCACACAACCTGGACAACACAAGCTGCCCGTTCTCGTCCGCCGTCGTCCCGCGTTCCGGCTTCCGTGGTCTGCCGTGGCCGCCAGCCTCCGCACGTCTCGCCCGCAAGCTGTTCGCGACCTCCCGCAGTTATCTCTCCCCTTCCACACAGCAAGGCTAGCATCCCGCGCATTGCGGCCATGCTTGTGCTCCTCCTCTGGCCTCCTTCTCGGCTTCCTCATCCTGCGCGCGCGCAGCGAGACACACATGGGGTGAGCGCCTGCTCGGAGCAGCATCGTCGCAAGACTTCTGAAGCCAACGTCCAGAGCCGCCCCCCCCACCTCCTCCTCCCTCCTCCTCCTCCCTCCTCCTCCTCCTCCCCTATCCCCCATCCTCCTCTCTCCCCCTCCCTCCTCTCTCCCTCGCTCCTCTCTCCCTCCTCCTCCTCCTCCTCCTCCTCCCTCCTCCTCCCTCCTCCCTCCCCAAGCCGTAGGTGCTATAGCCACCAGAATTTGCTCACCCGCCTTTACCTCGCTTCTCCGCCCCCGGCGCAAGCGAACCTGAAGGAATGGGTCAGTGATGCCCGCGACATCGTAATCCGCGGCGTTGGCGTATCCCGAGGTCACCATATTCCTCAGAGACCGCACCAACGACCTCAGCGGTGGTGGCAACCCGCGCGATCTGGATGGTGATACTGACGACGATCGCGGCACAGATGCAGGCACAACTATCGTTGTCGTGAGGGGCGATGCGCTGGCCCAGAGGACAACGTCTTGATTGCCACTTGTGGCGGCGCATCCGATTGGAACACTTAAACACAACCATCCATTGATCACGGGTAAATGCTGAACGCGGTCGCAGAAGACACGAGTGCATCGATGGTGATGTCAATGACTACGCCCTTCTACCGCTCATAAGGTGTGCGCACACAGGACGGTCCACGAGCTTTTCTGGCACGCTCGGAGGCAATCTCGGCGGCTTGGGTCGAGGCCTGGATGTGGGTACTGGTTTCAAGGTCTCCAAGCCTCCAGAATCTTCTACCAACTCTCTCGCTCTCTCTCTCTCTCTCTCGTTATTTGCCCCTCTGCTCTTCTATAACACAACCTACCAATTATACAAACCTATAACACTTCATAACTACACACAAACACGTCTATCCATCCATCCATCCATACATACATACACCTATGTACCTCCATACGTATATATGCACTCTATGTCGCTCTCCAGACTGCTAAGTAGGTACATCGATATGTCAACATATGTCTCACCATGCTCGCATACATCTATACCACTCCGTGTAACGTCTATATCTCCCCAAACAACTACAACACAACAAACGCATCTGATGTCCGAAACCGTGGCACCAGGCAGCGAGTGGAGTGCTGTGCTGCGTACTCCGAGTGCTCTTCGCAGGGCCTGTAGCCCCAAGTGCCAGATCTCTGTGTCCTTGTTGTCCTCCTCTCCCTCCTCCTCCTCCGTTCTCCCTCCTCCTCCCAACTCCTCCTCCTCCTCCTCCTCCTCCCTCCCTCCCTCCCTCCCTCCCTCCCTCCCTCCTTCCCTCCCTCCCTCCTCCTTCCTCCTCCTTCCCTTCCTTCCTCCTCATTCCTCCTCCTTCCTCGTTTCCGAGGTCAGAGAGCCCCAGTATGGACTGAACAGGTACGCTAAAGTGGTCCAGGACTGTCCAAGAGGGCCCCGAAACGGCCCACGAGCGTTCCGACACGGCCTCAAGACTGCCCAAGAGGCCCCTGAGACGCACCCAGTGGGACCCAAGAGGACCCCTAAGGTTGCTCTAAGAGGCAAAATCACGGATTCCGCGAGACCCCAACAGGCATCGAAGATGCCTCTGGCCCATTACCCACCACGGTGGCGGGATTGGCCGAGAAATAAATGCATCCACCGCCCCCCTCGCTTGCAAGACGGTGCCTGTGGTGCCCAACTTCTGACCTTTTCTGGGCCACTCCCAAGAACACCCGGCCGATCCCGCGGGCCTGCAGGAAAGACCCGGGTGGGCAACACTCCGTCGGCTTTCCCGCTCAAGGTGGCTCTGAGACGGCCTCCGAGAAGGCCAAGTGGGCCCCATATGGCCTCCAAGACGGTCCCAAGACGCCTCCAAGACTGCCAAGATGGCCGCAAGAGGGCCCGAGATGCCACCAAAATGGCCAACGATGACTCCAAGACGGCCCCAGATGCCCTCCAGACGGCCCAACAAGCCCTCTAAGACCCCCAAAGATGCCAACCAACATCAGTGATGGTCCTACGGTGTTTCAGAAGTTTTCGCGTTCTCGCCTACAGCCGAAGACGGCCCCAGAGGCCTCCAAGATAGCCCCAGAAGCGCCCAAGAGGGCCCCAAGATGGGCCAAGAGGGCCCAAGATGCCCCCAAGACTGCCCCACAGACCTCCAAGAAGCCGAACAGTTGGGAGACGGCAGAACAATGGCCCGAAGACGGCCCGATGAGACACACGACGGCCTCCGAGGGCCAAGAGGCCTTTACGGGCCACTGGACATCCCCCGGATACCCCGAGGGGGCCCCGAGAAGCCTCACCCCCCTCCTGACCCTCCCCCCAAGTGTTTCTCCAAGGGCTGCCACTACGACAGAGGGAACACATGATCCACTAGGTTGGCCAGAGGTTAGAAAAGAAACAACTTCATAAACACAAACTGTTGGCGCTCCGCGCGGATTTCTCGGATCCGCGCTGGACCCTCCTCCCTGGCGCGCGGAGCGCGCCAGGGGCTGCGCCGGAGGCGCCGCCGAAGGGGCCCAGCGCGGAGAAAAGGAATCCGCACGGAGCGCCAAAAGTTTATGTATGCCGCTTTTCTTCTTCGCAGGATACCCCGAGGGGGGCCCAAGAAGCCTCACCCTCCTCCTGCCCCTCCCCCCCAGGTGTTTCTCCAGGGGCTGCCACGACGACTGAGGGAACCATCGGCGGCGGGGCAGAGGCAAACTGCACCCAGCGGTCGAGCAGTTTTTGGGGCCGCCGAGGAGCGAGCTGCCCAGCATGCAGGGTGCAAGAGGAGAGCCCGAGACAGACGGAGCGGCCGCGGAGGCGGGGGAGGAGGAGGGGGGCTCTCGGAGGAGGAGGAGGGGAGGAGGGGGAGGAGGAGGAGGAGGAGGAGGAGGAGGAGGAGGAGGGGAGGAGGAGGAGGAGGAGGAGGGGAGGAGGGGGGCTCTCGGAGGAGGAGGAGGGGAGGAGGAGGGGGAGGAGGAGGAGGAGGAGGAGGAAGACTCCCACTGCGACTGAGGAAGCACGTCGCTCAACAGCGTGGCCAGGCGTCGGCGCAGGGCCCAACCGCGTGCGCGCCGCCGCCGTCGCTGGGAGCGCAGCTCGGTGGGGTGGGCCCCCGGGCGGTGCCTCGCCGAGGGAGACGTCCTCGAGGCCTGTGCGCCCCGCTCTGCGATGCGCCTTGGCGTGGACGGTCGCACTCCGGCATGGATTCCACTGCCTCGCCGGGGTTCGGTCGGGCATGTCCCCCCACGGGCGGATTTTTGAGGAAAAAATTTGAATACCCCCCAAAATGCTCAAACAGAATCAGAAGATGCTAGACAAATCGTCCCCCGACTATTTGTTGACTGCTTCTAAAGTTCCCTCCTGTAGAGGGACGTGCCCGACTTAACGCTAGGGTTGGGAACTTTTGCTTGCAGGGTGTCGCGGCGGCGACCCTGGCGCGACGCTCTAAGTGTCCTGCATCCTGATAGCGTTTCGCTCCGCTCTGTGGGGCGGGATGCCGGGAGTGGCTCGGGACATTGACGCTTGTGGACTGGGATGTGGTTCGCGGGTCGCGCCGACGTTTGGTGGGCCAGAACCAGCGGTACGACACGCTAAGCAAACGCTCCTGGCCGTAATCCACCCTGGACGCGTAGAACGGGTGCTGTGGCGATGAGACTTCCTCCAGAGGGAGCAGTTCTCACGCCAATGACGCCAATGCCTCGGCCAAGGTATTTAGCGGTAGGTGCGAGAAGGAGAATCGGGTCGGACGAAAGTGGGGGGGAATAGGACAGGGGTGGCTAGAGGAAGAGCAGCTGCACAAGCATCAACTTTCTAAGGCCCGCGCGGACTCTTTCGAAGGGCCTCCAGTGCTTCACACTCCCATGCGTCCCTCTCGGAGAGAGGCTGGTGAGACAGATATTCGCCTCAGAAATGCACATCGAAGACGACGGATAGGCACCGCTCGGACCGAACCCATCTTTGGTCGGCGGTCGCGGGGCGACCACGCGACGGTCGAGCGTCCGATCGCTCTCTCCTCCAGAAATGCACATCGAAGGCGACGGGTAGGCACCGCTCGGACCGAGCCCGTCTTTGGTCGGCGGTCGCGGGGCGACCGCGCGACGGTCGAGCGTCGGAGCGGGCGCGCATTCGGCGCAGAGGGCGAAGCGGGGAGACCCGGGACACAGCACGTGCGCCACAAGCCATTGGGCGTGGTCTGGCGCAGCCTCGAAGGAGAACCGTGCGCGATGATGTCACCGCCAAAAGCTGTGCTCGATCGCAAGGCTCGCGAGCACCCAAGAGTGAATGGAAAACAGGCTGTACACGCCGATCATATATTCAACCCATGGTTCATCGATCTATTCACAGACCCAGACCAGACCCATGGATCAGTCGGGTGACCACAAAGCCTCAGCGGTCAGATATAGGAATGTGCCGATATTGCGCACTGAGTGGTTACAAGCAAACTAAAGGACATACACAGCGATTTGTGTACTTACATCTATGTGCGTATGTATGTGCGTATGTATGTATCTATATACCCATACAGACCCACATACACACATGCATACATGTATGTCGAACGATGGCCCTGAAGTGCTGGCGACGGGTGGTGAGGCGTCTCAGACGCAACCCATGACCTGCTACTCGTGCTGCATGCTCACAAGCTTGCGTGCGCCCTCGCACATGTCCAAATTCTGGTCCACATAACGGTACTGATTCGACTTCTCCTGGTGCCACGGCTTATGCAAGCCGAAGGGCGTTACGTTTGCATGCCTGAAGCCCTGCTCGATTGCAAACCTGTCCCTCACCGTCAAGTCTGGCGCCCTTGCAACATCTCGGCATGCCTCCGAGAAGAACACGTCCTCTTGCATCTTCAAATCTTGGATCCCTCGCCTCACGCATCTCATCATTACTTGTCGATTCCGCAAGGACAAACCACCGTTCGATACATTTGAATCACCTCCACAGGAAACGGCGCCGACGAAGTCATAGTTAAAAAACTCCGACAAGTGCACCTTAGAATTCAGGCAAAGCAGCGAGTCGCTCTGCATCGTCAGCACGTGGTCGCACTTCAGCGACTCCCAGAAGGACATGTTATAGAACAGGGAGCTGTATTGGCTATGCCACCGCGAGCTGGCCAGACCCCCCTCTAGCAGTGCCAGATCACCGCCCAGATCGGTGCTGCCCAGGGGGATCAGCCGCAGCCTCCCGCTGCGCCTGTCCTCGCGCAGGTGCTCGCTCTCCTCCACGAGGCGCGTGACGTACTCCTGATTGCCCGTCCCGTGCATCAGCGTCAGGACCTGGATCGCCGGCTCCTTTGAAGGGGCCCTGGGACACACAAATAAATACACACAAATAACAGGATTCCCCATATTTTCCCATATTTTCTGGGGTTTTGTCTTCACCCCCCATTCCCATATGTTCCCATATTTTCTGGGGAATCGACGATCAATTCTGTCTGTGTTTTTTCCTCTCCTGCTCCTTGCCCGAGCCGTCGCGCACGAGGCTGGCGGTCTCCAGCGCCAGCTGCACGCTCCGGAGCCTGCGCGGCTCGACGAGCACCGCCTCGACGCAGGAGCTCGCCGGCAGGGAGGGCGCCGGCGCCGATCGCTGGGGCGAGTGCCGATGCACGTCGGGCTGCTGTTAGGTCGAGCATGTCCTCCTACGGGCGGATTCTGGACGAAGCCCATCCAAACCTTTAGCAAAGCGTGTTCAGGAACAGTCAGGAAATCGATTTGGTCAGTTTTGACTCATTTTTGCTGTTTGGACTCGCCATCGCTCGGGCGTCCATTCCCTGTGTTTTTTTTTCCGGTTTCGTGCGTGGCTTTTTCGCCGAATGACCAAGGATGCTCCTCGATGGTCCTCGCCGAGGAAAAAACGCACACGTCCGAGCGATGCCAAGTTGACGCATACGGTCAGGAAAAACAGCCAGCTTCGACTATCTTTGAGCACTGTGTGTGCGTCTGCTGGTGAATTTAGATCATTTTGTTCTGTGCATGTGCAACTGCGCGCCTGTGGTGCAGGTGCGAACCGGCTTGCCTACGTGGCGCTTGTGTTCGCAAATTCGCATCGTGCCGCCTGCCCCGGACTTTGCCCCTCGCCGCCAGACCGTTGTCGCGCGGCCGCACACCAACAAAAATCTTTGAGCACTCCTCGTGTAGAGGGACAGGCCCGGCCTGAGGCTGCTGCCGGCTGCCCTGGGCCGCCGCGTGCTGCAGCAGGGCGGCCTCGTCGCTGCCGCCGACGTCGCAGCTCTGGCGCTCGGCCGCGCCCGGGGCCAGCAGCAGCGCGAGGCAGAGCGCAGCGCCGCGGCGGGCGTGCGGCATGGCGCGTTATCTCCGGGGGCGGGCCGCGCGGGCAGACGAGGTGGGCGCTTTTTAGTTCGGCGCCTCGGCACTGGGCGGAGGGGGGGGGGAGGGGAAGGGGGGGGGTCTGGCTCCGGACCTCTGCTCAACGCGACTGTTTGCAACGGTGTGTCCCGTGGGGGAGGTGCCCCGCCTGCTCGAAACAGGCGCCCACTACTCCATGTGGGGGGGGGGGGGGGATGGGGGCGAGGGCCGGCGCAGATCGGCAAAACAGTGAATTAAAAAACGCTCACAAGCGCGCTCCGCTACTCGCAGAATTACTGCTCGCAAATGGCCTGCACCCCCCATGGGCGACTTACGATGCATTACGTCGATGCAGACATGTGTTTTTCGAACGTTTGCGAGCAGGCACTTTGTGAGTACTGTTAGATCGGGCCTGTCCCCCTACAGGGGGATTTTGGACGACAAATAAAACATACCTCATAAATGCTCAAAAGATGTCCAAACGTACTCAAAACACAATCCCCAGACTATGCTTTGACTATTCTCGAATGTTCCCCCTGTTGGAGGGACAGGCACGGCTCAAGAGCAGTGGAACGCGCTCGGTGAGCGGGGTGGCTCGGTGCCCTGAAGTCGGGCCTGTCCCACTACAGGGGGAAACATTGAAAATGCTGATAAAATTTTTGTCCGGGGACTACTTTCACATTTTTTTACCTAACAGCGAAGACTGATAGGTTTCTAATAGGGTCAAAAGAGACATCATGACTCCACAAGGGGGTCCGGGCGGCATCCGGGGAGCTGGGTCCGAACTCGGTTTTCGTAAACAGTCACACACAATTCGTGCTCTTCGACCTCCCAGAACTCCATTCCCGGGCCACATTTTGAATGCCCGGAGCCAACTGTAAGCCACTTCGTGCTCTTCGACTTCCCAGAACTCCATTCCCGGGCCACATTCTAAATGCCCGGAGCCAACTGTAAGCCACGTCGTGCTCTTCGACTTCCCAGAACTCCATTCCCGGGCCACATTTTGAATGCCCGGAGCCAACTGTAAGCCACGTCGTGCTCTTCGAACTCCATTCCCGGGCCACATTCTAAATGCCCGGAGCCAACTGTAGGCCACTTCGTGCTCTTCGATTTCCCAGAACTCCATTCCCGGGCCACATTTTGAATGCCCGGAGCCAACTGTAGGCCACTTTGTGCTCTTCGACTTCCCAGAACTCCACTCCCGGGCCACATTCTGAATGCCCGGAGCCAACTATAAGCCACTTCGTGCTCTTAGCCTTCCCAGAACTACATTCCTGGGCCACATTTTGAATGCCCACAGCCAACTGTAGGCCACTTCGTGCTCTTCGACTTCCCAGAACTCAATTCCCGGGCCACATTGCACACAACTCCAATATTGATAGCAGTGTCTCGCTCCAGACTAAAATCATTCATGGAACTGTCTCGTTTGGACGTGCACCCATTGATAGCAGTGTCTCGTTTGGACCTGAATCCATTGATAGAAGCGTTTCGTGTGAAGACACACTTACCGAAAGCAGTTGGTCCTTTCCATCGTGCATCCATTGAAAACGGTGTCTCGTTTGGAGCTACATCCGTTGATAGCAGTGTCTCGTTCGGACCTATGTCCACTGCTAGCGGGGTCTCGTTTCGACATACAATTATCGAAAGCAAATGATCCTTCGAATCTACACCCATTGGGGACAGTGCGTAGTTGGTACTACAACTACTACTTCACTGCACCCACTACCGTCACTGCTACTCTTACTGCTACTACTACTGTTGCTGTTGCTGCTGCTGCTGCTCCTGTAGGTATTGCTACTGCAACTACTGGCAATGCCATTGCGACTGCGACTGGGACTGATGTTGCCACTGCGACTGCCACTGCGAATCCGAATGCGACTGCGAGAACAAACAAAAATCTACACCAGCACTCCTACATGAATACCATAGGCAATGCTTCCAGCCATGCTTTTACACATCGTTGTTAGGTTGCTTTGTCGGGATAATTGTTTTTTGTATAAAAAACAGGCTTTAGACATCTGGAAATTATTTGGCAACACGCTTCCTCTCCATAGATCGTCCTCCACAAGCATCTGTCGCGTCTCGCAGGGTCCGGAGCCTTGCTCCGCCTCTCCCACTGCCGTCCCTCCCCAGACTTGCTCGCGTCGTAACAAAAAAAATCCGGACGGGCGGTTTTTTTCGCTCTCTTCGGCCCCGGGGGGCCCTCGCCGGGCCCCCGGGGCCATCCAAAAACGACTCGGGACGAAAAGCAAGCCCCGAGGGCAGGGTCGGAACTTCCGGGGGACCCTCCTCCTCCTCCTCCTCCTCCTCCTCCTCCTCCTCCTCCTCCTCCTCCTCCTCCTCCTCCTCCTCCTCCTCCCCCTCCTCCTCCTCCTCCTCCTCCTCCTCCTGAAAAAATCAGGGCGTCGCCTGCCTGGGTCCACATCTCATCTCCGTCCCCGTCAGCCGTCCTCCTCCCGCGCCCGCTCTGCCCTCGCCGCTCCCCTCCCTCTCCCTCCCCGCCCCCTGCCCCTCGTCCCCCACTGGCGGCGCGAGCACAGGGGGGTGCAGTTGTGGGGGAGGGGGGAAAAGGCTTCCTATAAAACGACGCGAAGATCGGGACAAAATCGGATCGGGATAACTCGAAATCTCTGAGAATCGGCGGGTTTGGAGGATGTATTGGGCGCCGCGGCCGCTCCAGAGCGTTCCGGAACGCTCTGAGAGCGCTCCGGAACGCTCTGGAGCGATTTATCCCGATCCTAGCCCTGTTTTATCCTAGCAGGAGGCTGATTCTCAGGAGGGCGCCGGCCCTACATCTACAGACAGGGCTCGCGCCTTCTGAGAAGCAGGCCTGCTTCTGAGAAGCCTTCCCTAGACCCCCGACGTCGTGGTTTTTCATGACGTGACCCCCAGAAGTCTGGACCCCTTCCCCGGGACCGGTTTTTCATCCTGGGCAATTGTTTGATGATCCTGGGGCCCGGTAAGGGCCCCCGGGGACCAAAAATATAGAAAGACCTCCCGTCGTGACTTTTTCAGACGGGGTCTGGGTTGTGGATTTACATTGTTTGGGGCAGGGCACCTCGTCCTTAGGACCCCATCCCTCAGGACCCCATCTTTGACCCCTCCCTTTGCGCGTGGCTGAGCTCAAGCGGCGGCCCGTCGGGAGTGCGCCACCAGGGGCCTTCGACCGCGGCAGCCCAGCAACGTCGGCTTCCGGGATGGCGTCGGCCTCCGAGAGCGAAGCTACGACCACGGAGCCAAGATCCGCCGCTAAAAAATCAGAACGGCCAGGACCACGACCCAGACCTGATCGCGACGAAAAAAACATCTAGACATGATCGCGACGACCACGGCCCAGGACGACCGCGGCCTTCGAGAGCGAAGCTGCGACCACGACGCAGACACGATCGCGCCGTGAAAACATCAGGACGGGACGCCTCGCATCATCTTCGGCCCCTGTTGGGCCCTCGACGGGCTCACGGGCCGCCAAAAACCGACTCGGGAGGAAAAGCTCGTCCCGGGGAAAGGGTCAGAGGACTTCTGGGGACGCCGTTTTGCGGCATATGCACAGGGGGGTAGTTATGGGGGAAGGGGGGGAGGCCTCCACGAAGCAGGGGTGCTTCTAAGAAGCCTTCCCCCCTC